TCTGCGGGGAGACAGAGGGGACACTCGGTATGCGGGCCTGGGCCCTGCCCGCCGCCCACCCTCCTCACGGTTAGGCACACGACAGACAACCGGCACAGCAGCCAGGGGCAAAGCCAGGAGCCTCGCAAGTGTCCCTGCCGCTCACCGCGGAGGGCTGGACAGGGCTCAGGCTTTCAGCAGCTCGCCAGCCGGTCTCAGTACTCCAGACAGACCACGCAGGAACTCACAGACCCGACACAACCCAGGCTGTCCTAAGCATTCGCCTGCCCCACCCACAGCTCTTCCTTACTGCCCCCAGCCCGCGGAAGTGCCCTTTCCTGTAGAGCTCTTGCCTCCTCTCGCTTCATCTAGGACCCTGAGATGAGGGGCAGAAGGGACGTTTCTAGGGGAGTCCAAGGGTGATTTCAGTGGGCCATGCGGAGGTGAACAATCTGCTGCACCGCACCCCGGGGTTTAGGTATTTTACCTTTCACAGTCTACTTCTCTTGGGGGCGCTCGCTGAGCTCAGCCTCTCCTTGAACTTGCCGAGACACTTCTGCCTCAGCCTGCACTGCTGAGATTATGGGTGTCGGCCACGAAGCCTGGCCCAAGTTCTTCATTAAAATGCAGTGTGCTGTGCAGAGGGGATTACGCTGACTGACAAATGTTAGAAGTAAACTGCCTTGGAGGGTGTTCGTCACCTATCCTTGGGTGCTTTTGTGACAATTCAAAAAAGGGGAACAGTTTTTAAATGCAGTTTGCTGGTCAGTAAAAGGGAGCAGAAAGAGGCTGTTGGGTACCGTCTGAAGTTAGACAGGGCACACACAGCCTTCAGGGTTAGATGCTTCCCCGAGATGAAATATGAAGCAGCCGTGATGCTCTCGAGGGCTGTGGAGTCAGCGAACTGCTTCTTATACATCAAGGTATTTACAGAGTCAAAACCAGGCCCTCCCGCCATGCCAGCTTCCGCTTGTCACCATGAAGGATCCGAAAGGCACCGCAGATGCTTCAGGAGCATCTGGAATTTACCAGTGCTCTTCTCAAAGCAGGGCATTCTGTTGAGAGGAAACTCAGCAAGTCATAGGTGCTGCTGACACGCATGCTGTGGTGTGCAGGGCAGGCGGAGTAACAGGCAGGGAACCTTGGGATGGTTGGAAGATCTTTCCTAAGGCAACAAGGTCACTAGTAAGCAATTAATATGTTTCATTTAGGATCTCCCAAAACCAGGGTGTCAGGAATACAATTTAGAACTGAGGTTAGCAGAATTTTTCTAACAGGCCAGGTAGAAAATACTTTGGATCACACAGTCTGCTTGCCCTTGCAATGCAAAGCCATAGGCAACACATAAAAGCTGTGGCCATGACTATCTGCCAATAAAACTTTATTAAGAAACGGGCTGTGGACAAGATCTGGCCCTGGGGGATGTACAAGAGTCCTGCGTGCATAGGCGAGCTCTGTGATGTACGGTTTAAAACTCTTTCTAGAATGGAGAAAAACTCATCTGACATTGGGTGATCCTTAGATCACCATATAAACCTAACCTGGAGTCCTTCTGTGTAAGACAAGGGACAGCAACACTTTGACAAGGTCAGTGGTGTACTTACAATTCAAAGAACGCAGGGTGCTCAGAATGAACTGCCAAACATATCAAAATAGAGCTAAGCAGAAGCAATGAGGAAATTAGGCCACAGCACAGAAACACCTAGTATTGATTGAGCTACAAACCGTAGTTTGATTATGGCCCATAAGGTAGAAGCAAGCCTCCCCGAGCTTTTCATTTCTCATACATGCAGCGATACTAGGAGGTATCATCGCTGTAGAAGAGAGGGCCCAGCACCAAGAACAGTCAGAGAGAGAGAGAAAGAGAAAGAGAAAAAGTTGAACATTTAGATCCCTTATAACAAAGAAGGAAAAAATAAAATCTGCATTTGTTAACATAGGGCAAAGAGAGTTTATTTGTCCAGTCAGACAGCCTAAGGCAACACTATAAATAAGGCTGCAGAGACCGTGATCGGACATGGCATTTTCAGACAGTGTAGGTGACTTGAGAACCCAGACAACGGATGTGTCCTGTTCTGTTTTGTGTGTGTGTTTTTTTTAAACAACTGGAACAATGACAGGCTGGCATAGGAGAGCATTGACAATAAACACAAAGAACAAAGTCCCCTCCCAGCACCCACTCCCCACCACCGCAGTTAAACTAAGTACAAAAACTATTACAAAAATAGCCTCACAGAGAAGCAGGTTCCAGTCAAGTCAGAAAAATATTGGAACTTAACATATTGTAACCCATTTGTGACTCTAATCAATAGAATTAGAGAGATTTAGTCCAAAGGACACATGAAACATTACAGCAGAGCAACCCTGGCACATCCAACCCTTCTTGGAAAAACGTGTGAATGATCTTTATTTTTAGCCCAAAGAACATTTGTTAGTGTTGGATTTTCATCCTCAGTGCAACAGACACAGGTTTGGAGAAGTACACAGGTTACTGACGAAGACTCTCAAATAGAATACCACGTCCGACAAGCACAGGCAGACATCGTTACACTTTCAGTGGCACCGGTGACCACGGTCAGAGCTGAGCAGCGTGCAGCGGGGCAGCCTCGTGCTGTGGCTTTCATTTCTGGGTTGGCCACATCTGTAGCATCTTATCTGAGACCCTCGCCCCTTACCCTGGACCCTCATCCTGAGCACTGCACCCAAGTCTAACCCTGGAAGGCTGCCTTTCAAAGGAGCTGCAGCTGCATCACACACCTCATCAAGTCTAAAATGCAGCTGGGACTGTGCAGTGACTTTCAGAAAAGAGGGTGATAGCAGATAAATCCCTAATAAAGGGGACCGATGTATATTGGGGCCATTCAATCACAGTTTCTATAGAAACTTTTGTAGACCTTTGGTTGGGGGAAAAAGCCCTATATCTAGGGCATAGTGTCTTCATTTTTATTTTTAAAATTTTAAACAATCTTAATAGGTCAGAATTATTACAATATACATCATCATTTCCATCAGAACACTAAGCTATGTAAAGATCATTTCTGTCTACTCAAAGCATCTAAAGACATGATAAAGGAACTCTACGTATAACCTGGCTTTCCTCACAGGAAAGGTATAGTAACATGTTTCCCTCATGGTGAGCACTGGGAATCTGTATGGCTAATATAGCAACAGTTTCTGTTTGTTGTTTGTTAGTGGTGGGCTTAGGTGGTCTGATGGGGCAAGAGGCCAGTAGGGGGTGAAGAATCACTGTATCCAGCACATAAGGGGTGAGCAAGCCCCCAAACCATCTTGAGATTTCACGCCTCTTAAATAAAGATATCGAGTAACCGAAAAAGAAAAAATAAATTGTGCCTCAACGTATCACTCAGGAAACCTGCTTTCCTGCTTCTTCAAAGGGGTATATAGTCATTTTGTGCTAACAATTGATCTGAGAAACAGTTTGGCACAGTTCAAACATCCCTCCGCTCTCGGTCGGACTGGACAACTCCTTCTCTCTGATTACCAGAAAGAGGCTGTCAGGCCATCCCCAAGTCCACGTAAGCAAGCAAAAGGATGAAATGTGTAGAGATTTCAGAACAAGCGAGGCAAATAATCACATGGTGTGTGCGAGGCTGGTAAGACACTGGTGATTAGGGGAAACAAAAAGGACTTTTCTGCTGCCGTTCTGGAGACAAATTCATGGAGTCATGCCAGGGAAGGAAGGAATGTTTTCATAGTTTGACCCACCATATTCTGGGACCGAGCCATCTCCCCGCCTCAGAAACAGACGAACTCTGCGGCCACCATTCTTAATCAGTTCTATGGCCCGGGAATGCTTCATGTTTTTGGTGGTCTCACCATTGATCTCTAGAATTTCATCACCAATCTGCCAGGCAAGAGAGAACAGAGGGACAGGGTCACAGCTGTGGAGGTCCTCCTTTCACTAATTCACTTACCAAATATTTACTAAGCACATTCCAGAAAACTTCTTACAGCTTAGGGTGCAGCAGTGAAAAACACAGAGAAATCCCTGTCCTCACAGAGATGAGATTAGAATCAAGGAAACACAAGTAGTACAAGAATGAGAAAAATACACATACGCTAAAAAAGGTTAAGCGCTAAAGGAAGAAAGCTGAGGCAGTGAGGGAGTGAGAGTCGCAGAGGGAAGGAGGCTCCGTGGGACCCTTGCAGGCATCCGGCCTACCAGAGTCACGTCTGGGCCTCATCCCCCTTCCTCTGAATGTGGCCTAGAGCTGTGACTCCCTTCTAACCCTCCACAGATTACGGTCTCAGGTTACGAGACAGCCTGGGCTTCTGTCTACTTGCCCCGGCACAGACATGCGTCCCCAGGGCCCTGCTCTGGTGCGGAAGTGTCCCCCAGAAGCCTGTGTTGAGCGCTTGGTCCCGGCCCGCGGTGCTGCTGGCAGGTGGAGGAAGCGGCAGGACGTGGAGCCTAGAGGAGCAGTCCGGTGTTGGGGACAGGTCCTAAAGAGGATACCAGACCCTGTCTGCTCTCGCTCTCTTTTGCTTCCCAGCTGCCATGGTGTGAGCAGCTGGGCTCGTCCACGAACACTCCCCCGGGGGTTCGCTCACCACAAGTCCCCAGACAATGGAGCCAATGGACTATGCACTGAAACCACGATTCAAAACAAAGCTTTTTTCCTGTAAAGTTCACTTTCTCAGGTATTTTGAAAACTAACATGACCATGGAGCCTCATGGTATCGTGTAAGTGAGAGCTCTGGCCACAGCTCAACAGGCAGTTGGGCTACAAACTACCACACAAATGAGCCACACACAACCCTCCCATAGGTGCACCTTCAGGAGACCACAGTCCTCCTCACACAGTGAACATGATTCCCTGGCTCGCCGCTGCTGTGGGCGCCGCTAAAGGGAATGAGCAGAACCGGCCAGAAAGAAGGGAAGGCACGGGCTCTGGGTACACGGCTGTGAGTATGAACCTTGGCTCTTGTCAGCTCAGGTCCTTCAACTTCCTAAAGTCCACTTTGTCGCCTGCAGAGGGCCAAAGCCACACGCACACTTGCACACTTGTTGTGCTGCAAGGGTCACCTGGGTAAGAGTCTCCTGTGGGCCGCATGCACACTATTATGTAAAATACCATGGTCAAGACATTCCAATCCATCAGGAATTTAGGAATGATTCCAGACCAGGGAACGCATACGCCGTGTGTTTAAAATTCAAGCAATGATTCAAACAGTGATATCTGTATCTGTGTATCTGTATCTATCTTCCCCATGTATGCGCAGAAAGACAGACACACAAGACACTGGTGTACCATTTGATCCTGGAAGTTGTATTTTTATGTGTACACAGCTTTTCACTGCTTAATCATGAAACATGCTCTACTGTGCTTCCTCAACTGTGAAGAGCACTGTTAAAAATTCAGTCTGAAGAAACTTAAAAATCAAAATTGTGCCTTAGGTACAAATACAATAATGACTTCCTCACTCTTGTCAGTGTTTTCTTCTTTCCACTCAAGCCCAATTTAATTCACTTTTCTTCCCTTCTTGACCTGACTTTCTTTTAATTCATTGTAAATGCTCCCATGCATATTATCTCAGTCTAGGTGACTTATCTATAATGAGGAGACAGTTTATCTTTCCCTAACCATCTAGATTGCCAGGGGAATGACACATTCGTTCACGGCAACAGATAACTACACAGCTCAACAGCACGGGCTGACATTCTGGCATTTGTGTACTTAAATTTTGCAGCTTTGATGACTACAGAGAACTTTGAATATTGTGGCTGTGAAGCTGCTGTCCTTTTGCTGAGGCAGAGGGGTCAACTTGCTGTGCTGCCTAGGGAAGACTAGCAGGCCCGTGAACAGAGCCCATGCCCAGAATCCACAGGCCCCAGGGTTTCCTGCTGCCTGAACATCTGAGTACCCAGGGACTCTTGTGAAGCAATGCCTGCCTCAGAAGAACTCAAGAGCTATGCAAATGACAGTTGGAGAACACCTACTTTGAAGACATTTGTTAGTGATTTTAATCTTTTCAAAGACTCATCAAATTTAGTAGCCACAACTAATAATACTTTAGGAGAAGACACATAGTAGGGTAGGGTGGGAGTATGCTGAAACACCGTAGAAAACGCCATTCTCGTGAACACGGATGTCTTAACCATGTGAGACCCAGGTGGTTTGCTTACATCTACCTCAGCCTCCTCGCCCAACTCACCCTCATCTTTCCACATCTTTCTGCAGGCCCGTCCTCTGCCAAACGCAAAACATAGAGGTCCATGTTATACTCTCGGCCTCCTCGAAGACTAAAGCCAAATCCCTTGGCTCCTCTCTCCAGCTCCACAGTGTAAAAATCTTGCTCCTGTTTAAAGAAATTAAATGCAATAATTCCTGGAGAATTTATGTCCACACTTGTTTTTCTTCATCTCTTCCCAAACATTCTCTATTATGTTACTTTGGCAAAAAGACACATCCCCCACCCCGTCCTGGGGACACTTCATCGTTTATTAAGCATCCTCATTAGTCTGTTAATCTCAGGGTGGGGAGCCAGAGTTGAAAGCGTTCACGAGCGCCCTGCACATGTGCCTGTGAGCGTTCCCTCGGGCCGAGCCTGCCCCACATGGGCAGAATGGTGCTTATGCCCGTTTGCTGCTGGGCATGGTGCTTCCTGACCCACGCCAGCAGTGCCCATCCTGGGCTGAAAACACGAGCTCTGTAGTCTGGGAGTGGTTTCCATGCCATGTGCAGAGACCAACGGCTCCAAGGAAGGGAATAAAAAAGTAACTCATTTAACTTTGCATCACCTAATATTTCCCAGATGTGTTTCACTTGCTATCATTTCTCCGTCTACCTGAAATTCACACCTTATCAAAAGAGATATTTTCTTTGCAGAAACAATTTTTATTGTTTTGGTTTTTTGAGACTGGGTTTCACTCTGTAGTCCACACTGGCCTTGAACTCAAGATGGGATCTTCCTGCCTCAGCCTCCTGAGAGCTGGGACTATAAACATGTACCACCACACCTGGCAGAAATACATTTTTGAAAACTGTAAGTAGACAGACATCACCTGCTTAGCTTTTTCATTACTGATCGTTTTGTTTTGTTTTTAATCCTAGACATAGATATCTAGGAATATTTTTTAAAGGCAGCAAAATAAAATGTCATTTCCTAGAAATTAAATGTGAATACACATTTGGTAAATCACTGCATAAAAGAGTAAAGTTAATAATGTCTTTTAAAATCTATCTTGAACTAGCCTCAGAAAATTGGAAGGAAATGAACAAAGTACACACAAAAGAAAAAAAAGAAGGGAAATGGCCCTCACCTGTGTGGCCTGGGGTGCTTTGAACTCAAACTGAGACTCTGGCTTTGGTTTGGTGGTGTTCCTGCCAAAGAAAGAAAGAAAATATGACAGCAACCCAAAGGGGTACTGGAAAGAGTCAGAGGTGTGTGTGTGGTCGTGCTGGATCACCTGCCCCTTCAACCTCACAGAGAAACCAGAGCCGCAGCTGACCTTGTCTCCTGGGGCCCTTGCTGCGCAGGGCTGTGTGTGGTGGTGATCGTGGCGATCTTCTCTGCATTGGTTAGCAAGGTGGCATTGGAGGACTCTGCAGGACCGAACATAAAGAAATGAGGGGCTTAGAGGAGACACCCTTCAACCAGGAGGCGCTCAGAAGCCCCGGATTTAAGAAAGAACGCTGACTTCTCAAATAGTTATACCTGAATTTCCCTCATCCATGAGCTTAACGAACCACTCCATCTTTTCTGATGCCGGCCATGTATGCCCTGACCCTCCTCCCAGCTAGACACTCCGCTGAAGGGAGCAGAGTTCGCCAAAGACTGTGCTGCTCCAGCATTACAGCTCGCACAGGTGTGTGCTGCTCCTCCCCGCACGGCAGATGGCATCCCATCCTCCAGGGTGCCACACTGGAGTCACTTTCCAGTTTTACAGGCTAATAGCAGATGTTTCCACTACACCGCCTCAATCCACCACAGTGTGTAGTGAGTCTGCGTGATCTCCTCATGTGAATGCCGTGCTAGGATCAGAAGTGTGCCAACTCTCATCAAAGATACACAAGCACCACTCCTTTCTGCTCCACAAGTGAAAATATGGAGCTCTTGATAGATTTCATTCATGAAAGATTAATTTTAAAACACGTTACAGAAACAAGAGTTTGTAAATATGTTATACAGATGATAAAGCCATCTTAATGTAACGAATACAAGTACATTCCTATATAAATTGACTTTCTTTTCCACTAATCACAGCCATCAGCAACTTCATTAATCTCTAAGTTTGGAGACTTGGAATGTGAAAATACTCATGTGTGTAACTATAGAGTGCACACAGATTCATGTTTTAAAATTCAATAATTCACACAGTGATGGTTACTCTTGCTAATTACTTTTCCATTAACATCAAGGGAGGTATCAACCAACTATAAACAAGCCCTGCTTTTCATATTTAAATTGATTCTTTGGAACTTGGGGTACATCTTCTAATCAACAAAATGCTAATTGTGTTGGGTGGGGGGCAAGTGCCCCTTTAATTCACAGCATACCTTGACGTCTACAAGTTTCCGATAATTCACAGTAAGGGGTTAATGTTTATTGAATACATATATCTATCCATCGAAAACAACAAATTTTCTATGAGAATACATTTTAGGTACTCCCAAACTGGGAAACCTGGAATATCTCTCTCTCCTCTGCGGTCCAGGAGAGACATTCCACATATCCCCACTGTGGCCTGCCCACCTTCCAGTTTAACTCCCTAAGGATATTACCTAACTTGGGTCAGGTTTCTTGTTGTCTTAACTATATGCACAGGGGTTAGAAGCCCTGGGTTTGACATGCAGGCCTGGATCCAGATCCTCCCCTCCCCTACTCATTAGCCTTGTGCCTTACTGTTCTCATCTCACGAAAGAGGGAGATGGCACAAATTCCTTTCTCACGGACTGAAAGGAACATGCAGTAAGCACTCAGTACATATTTATGCAGCTATGAGCCTTGAAACCACTAAGCCTTTTTGGTTTATTACTTTGGGAACTTAAGTTAAGATCTCTAGAAAATGAAAATTTTAAATAGGATTTTAATAGTTTTTACTGAAGTGATAGATATCCACTATTCCTACAGCCAAGACAAAAGATTAATGAGAACATATAGCTAGGTCAAGAGAACTGCTGTATGAATTCTATTCATGTTTTAGGACAGTGTTCCCCACGATCTCTCACCAAATATTTCTACAAATTCTGAAAGCAAAGAATCTATGGTCAGTTAAGTTTGGAAAGTTCTGGATGACATCAAAGGAAAGGTTTCCACAGGAGTCTGTTGCTTCTGTAGACTCTGCACAACAATGTCCTGGGCCCATGGGCCTTGTGACCCTCAGAGTTGGGGAGGTGCTGCTTCTCAAGCTAATTGGGAAGTGGGCTGACTCAGGAGTGTCAAGCTCAGATTGTGGTCTGAATCATTTTGCTCTGCATACTCAGCTCTGCAATTCATGAGGCAAGCAGAACTTATGCAAAGTCACTTAATTTCAGGAATTCAGGTTCCTTCTCTGCACAAGTGAAATGGCAGAGGAAGCTAAGAAAGACCATCCAAGAATAAACTGAGATGGCACTTGGCACATTAATAATGCTAAAAACAATTAGCATTCTCTTGGCATTTATTATATTAAAAACACATCATTAATTTTTTCTCAGAAGGACACTGGCTCCTACTGTTGCCCCCCATTCAAAGGCAGTCCACTGGCAGAACTGAGGTGATACACCTAAGGGGCATATCATAAAGCCGGCCCCAGGCCAACACACAGGACAGGATAGCACAGCCCTCACTGTGACTCTCCAGAACTTCCATGAACATAGGCACTGGACCTTTAACAAACTTCACATTGCTCACTGTAATTAATTTTATGGAGACTCTGGAAAATCACAAAGTTGTGTGGACCATGGGGAAATCATAATCAGGATACCAATAAGAATGTTTCCTTGTAATTAAAGTGATTATAGTTACCGGACTGTGTAAAGTTTCCCCTTAGCGTTCTTGTGTGTTATTTGTAGCTGGAATTTTTCTAAGCAGATAAAATCCTATTCTCAAATAATGTTTATATTTGTGCTGCTTTCATGATTTGATGAGCTATAACAGATAATCACTCCATACATAAACAGAATGCCTTTATTAATTTTCCTCCTTTCATCTGCTATTTTTCCAATCATATTTACATGCAAATCTATTTGAGATTGAAGCTTAACTTTAAGCATTTAAGAAATTAACATTTAATATGCAAATACCTATTTGAGCCTCTGAGTTTTCCTCAAGCTGTTGTCTTTGGAGTCTGTGAACAGCTATCATCTGCAGACCATCTACGTGAGCCACACAGATGCTGAGTCACTGCCCCACACACCACTTCGACTGATTCTTACTACACACAACAGGTGTACTACTCCAGTCTGCAGACAGAGGCATGGAAGCAAACAAAGGCACCCCAGAAGGTCGGGTGGCAAAAGGCAGCTCAGGACTCACCTGACAGGTGACTTTCAGTTCTGTTTACATGGGCATAATGTGTTGGTATCAAACAAATCAGGCCTAATTGGTACATACCTTTCAAATATGCAGTGTTTTTATTTGACTATATAAATACCATCAACTTCACTCAGCATCATCAAAGAGTAATTAAAATACGAAATACTCAGTTTGACTACAGGATTTCACGGGCCACTTTCAGAGCACCAAAATAATGTTTAGCACGTCCCTGATTTCCAGGATGCTTTTATAATATCAATAAAGTTATACTTATTTCATAAACTTTTAAGTCTTCACTTGGCATTACACCAAGATTGTTTTTGCTTAAATGCTCTCTTTTATGAATACAGATATGAAGCCCATTATAAAAAAATTCAGAGTTCTTTCCCCAAAGCAAAACTTGCCCTGTATAAGAGAAAAAAAAATACAGTATAAAAGAAGGGCCCAAAATGAGCATGAGTCTCCCTACCTCCCAGCAGCAATATTACACAGGGTGTCATTGCAGCTGACTTTTAAAACCCCAAGGCAGACGAACAGACTGAAAATCTTAAAGACTAATTCCTGGAGATACTCCACAGCTTTTTTGAAGGATGCTTACATCTATGTAGCTCTCCCATAAGAATGAAAATGGGTATTAACTACTGCACTTTCCATGTATCAAGAAAAGCAAATCTTGGCTCTCAAGGAACTGTCACAGTGCTTTTCCAAGTCAGGGCATGCACTCTTCTTCCACCTGTCTCTGCACACGGATCACTGTTCTAATCCTTCTCAGGTGATAACCTCAGTTGCCTTACAGAGTCCACATCAAAAAGTCAAGCACATCAACAAAGGACACAGTCATTTTTCATAAATGTTTTAACATGTAAACATATATGTAGTTAATATCTGAAAGCAACACTAGAAAATGTGAATCCCATAAATATGTGAGAAGTTTGGGGAGATGCCTTTGCCAAGAAAAATGTGGCATCTGTGTTGCCAAGTTCTACTGCCTGTATAAGCCAATGCTTGATCAGAGTGGAATAAGATCAAATTTAAGAGTACAATTTACATAATACATTTTTAAGCTCATAAATACGTTCACTATCTTGAACTTGATTTCCTACTAGCCTGGCTCAGTCTGGTTCTGCTCTGTCCGATAAAGCCTTAAGCCCACCTAGAATGTGGGGGGGGCACACTGACAGAACCCCAAGTACGGTTTGACTTGTGCCCGAGTTCAAATTCAGATTCAGCACATTCGCCTGTTCTGTAGGCCTCTCTCTGCTGCTCTGTATTTACTAACCCTTGCACACGTCTCACCAGACAGAAAGGCTGCCCTCGTCTCACCCCCACTGCTCAATATATAAATGGCAGGAGGGCGCCGGAGGGCTACACGATGGAGTCAACCAACCATTGACTGAGACCTCTGAAAGTGGGAGCCAGAGTTCATCTCTTTTCTCAGGAATTCTGTCACAGTGATGGAAAGCTAAAACGCCTCCAAGGGCAAGGGGAGCTTACAATGAAGTCAATGTTCGGAGTTTACATCTCCAAACAGTTTGTATTTACTGATACTGGCATATCAACTTCAAGTTTGCAAATATGAACTATGAAATGAGTGCTGATATTTTGTACCCGTTAACTACTATGGGGCTGTTCAGTGCAGTGCAGGATGCCTGGGAGCCCCCTAGATGCTTCTCAGCATCCACTGCAGACACTGCCGAGTGTACTCGGGGCAGAATGGGGGCAGAACCGCCCTGCTGTCAAGGAACCACAGACCTGAATTTAGCTAAGCAAACAAGCAAATGAGAATAGGCTCAGTTTAATATAGGACAATCTATCACAAATTTAGACATTTAGTTCTTCATCCACATCTAAAAATTGGGAACAAATCAGGAAGGCATAAAACTTTCTCATGAAATCAAAATTTTGATACACTCACTTATTTAAGAAAAACTGCACTGGCTACCCTCATTAGGTAGGTTTTATAATGTCAGCGACCATATATCATAATGACAGTGACCATTAAAAAGTCACTCATGATTTCTAATAGGCTATCAGGGGATCTTTACTAGCTGCATCAAAACTATTTCATAGTTTCAAACAAAAGGGTGCCAGAAACACCTGGTACAGGTGAAGATTTTCTGGTATTTGTATATATTCAGTAAGGCAGGGTCGCAGGGCTGGAGGGTTAATCGGGTAAGAGGGTGGTCGTGGTTCATGACAAGGCCTCATGTGGGCCTGATGGCCTGCTCAGTTAGCGAGGATACAGGTGCCCGTGCATCAGCACTGTTCACTCACATGAAGACAGCGGGAAAAAAAGCGGGGTGGGAGCGAGAGTGAGGTAACAGTATACTTTACCGTCCCCAGGCGTGATGCGCAGAGTGACCGTGCTCCCTGCTTCCTTGATTAGGTTGACAATGTCCGAATGGGACTTGTTGGTGATGGAGCACCCATTCACTGCCAGGATCCGGTCTCCTACTTTCAGCTTGCCACAGCGGTCAGCGGGGCTCCCCTCAATAATCCGACCTATTTTGTGAGGCATAGCCACACATGCATTGCCTGCTTTGGTATTGAGTTTTAATTTTTTAAAAGTTATGGATGAACACAGTGAAGGGAGGAGAAAAGGGGTTGAAAAGGGAAAGAGAAGGTTAAGTGTTAATTAATTAAAGCATTAAGCAAATGTTATTAAAGGAGAGCTCTGTGTCCATTGTCAAAACACTGGCAATACTCAGGGAGTCTAAGAAGACACTGCCCTGAAACTAGAGTTCACGGCTGTGGTGCTTTCCTGATTCAAAATAAGGGAGAAACCCCAGCTTCCCTCCTTAATAGGATCACAAAATTTGGAATAACTGCCAACTTCAAAGAGTCTTATGAGCCCCAAAATAACTTGTTCTTGGATTTAGGGCCATAAACGCCAGCTCCAGAGTGGGATGGCTGTTTCACTTGTTCTGTATTCGTGTTGCTTCATTTTCTGCCAGCTGTTGCTTAAGCTTCTACTGATGTTTTGTTCTTTCTCAATTAAGAAAAACAATCACTATTTCTGGTAAGACCTAAGAGTCTGCTGGCACCAGAAATTCAATCTGAAATCATCTAATGAACCAACACTTTCTGCCTTCTATTAAACAATGGCAAATACTTTAGAAAAATGGTATAACTGTTAAGAGATCAGCCAAGAAAGCACCCAACCTCAACACAGCTTATGTGTAGGACCTCTGCTTGCTCAGCCCATTTCATATGATTGCAGGGTAGGGTCTGGCGAGCTCATCAGATCTGCAATCATCCTCCTGCACCACAACTGTCCCCTAGAGGGACAGGGAAATCTAGGACCCGTCTGGGCCGACAACACTGATACAAAGCCAGGCGCCAATCGTCCCTTCCTCTCACCACCAGTCACTGCACAAGCACGCTAGGAGATCCAGGGAAAGGGCACTCGGATCACTCCATGTCACTGCTAACTCCTACAGGAAGTCCTAGGAGAGTCGGCCTTATGGCCCGACATGGGGTTTCTAGGTAGCTGTCTCCATGTTTCTTACATACATCCATCTATTCGTCTTTCTGGGAACTATAGAGAAAGTCACACGGTTGAGTCACCTTCTGGAGAGGGTTGTGAAGTAACATGGGAAACAGTGGGACTCAGCGAGAAGACTTCCACTACAATGAAGACCTGAAGGGGTAACATGGAAAAGGCACTGGGATTCCTCTGAGTTTGAGCAGATTTGCCCGTCTGTGGCACTGGGTGTGATGTCAAGTCAAAGAGTTTCAAAGGGGAAAACTATGCCTTGGGAGTCGACAGGAGGTGCAGTAGGAAACATCCATATGCATCCAAGACCCTGATTAAGCTTAGTGCATTTTCAAGCAGAACTGGCACGACGAAGGTGTAAAGAGCAGGTGTGAGGAGAGCTCCGCACAGCTCAGAAGTCTCATGCAAGGTGTTAAGGGGAGTTTGATTCAATGATTGTGAAAACCAAAAGAAAATAATCAAACACCAAATCGTGAGTGAAAACATTCCATATTCATCATATAACACACAGCTTGCTACCCGACATACCTGCTCTTTCTTCCTAGAGACTGAAAGGAATAATTCTGAAGCACTAAGACCACCACAGGAAATGGGGACAGTTCAATTCTAGATCTGAAGAAAAAACCTGGGATTTCTTATCCTGTCTCTTCTCTTTATTTTTAAAGTAAGCAGAAAAGTTTCTAAAATTAGCTTAAAAAACAAAACAAAAGCCTCTTGCCTTGATCAGGCCATGCTGTGCTACTTTGTCAGTGTAGCTCACAGAAAGCTCTGTCAGCTGAAGGCTCCTACGACAGCCACACACGCACAGACCTGGCCGTGTCCCCTCCACACGGCGCGGCGCAGGGGACAGCTTGGCAGGGAGCAACTTACCAAGGCCAAGGGGAGGCAAATGGGCTTTGCTAGCTCAGAACTCTATGGGAGGCAGTGCCGGCCGAACGCGGCCAGCGACTGGCCAGTGGCACTGCTCATCTGGGTGCCTGTCAAAGCCTGCGCAGCCCTCCGCCCCTTCTTCCCTCACACTCCACTTTAGTTAAGCAACGTGCTTGGGAGACGACAAGCACTTAAAAAAGCCTGACCGGAAGGTGGGTAACTTCTGGAGTACACACTTATAACTCACTGTAATGAGAAAGAGGGGCAGATGAGTAGTTTTTCATCCTCTTTGCTTGTGTACCCAGCAGGGTTAAATTTCAGACAGGGTGACAACTCTATACTTTCCTGAAACTTCAACATCTGGATGGACCTCAAACGCAAATGACTGTGAACTCCGATTTCAACCAGATTCTTAAGCAACAGTAAAACAGTATTTAAAATTTTAAAAACTTTTCTAGGGTACTGAGGACACAGGGGAAAGGACCCGTGCCATACTTTATTCCTCACACCTAGGCACTTTCACACCTTGTGCTGTTTAAATCTCTTCAGACCTTCTGAGGGTGTTCCCGTGGATGGCTTCTTACCCAGGACTTTTCCCAAATCTTGCAAAAATTTCAGATACTTCACGTCGTCAAGGGGCTGCTAACCAAATTTTATGCAAGTCTCCTCCCATGCTCGAAGTTGCGAACGTGATCATTCAGAATGAAAGCCGGAAGGGTCGAAAACCTGCAGCCCAGAAGGGCAAGGCCCCAGGTCGACCGGCCCGCGGAAGGCAGTCCCGCAGAGGCACCCCAAGCCTGCCCTGCAGCGTCCGCCCGGCACTCACCGAAGGCCGTGCCCGCCTCGGGCC